TATATATATATGGAAGTTTAAAAGCAAATGGGATTGTAGGAGCATGTTTTTCTGTAATTGGTACCTAGGAGGAGCATATTAAACTACGTTAGGTTTTCTATGTTAAAAATATAGGACATACACACATTTGTAAGTAGTTTTCTCAACACTGATATTCAGAGTGATTTGCAAATAGTTTTTCAAATGGCTAGTTAATTCTTAAATATTATAGAAGTGAAATGCTGCCCATGAAGGAAAAATCCCCATCTCCACCATACCAAGTAATTGATTTTTACATTAATCCATCTATATTTATAGTCTTTTTGCATTTATATATAACATTCTGTTTTGATAATCGTAGTAACCATCTTTGTTTATTACCTTTTCCAGTTAACATTGCAACGTAATCTTAAACTTTGCCCACAAACTTCAACTAAGAACTACTTACTAAAATTCTAAACTTGAAAATAGTTTTGTCTTTAAGAACCAAGAGTGATAAAATCACATTTAGGGTCTCGAAGACTGTCGATATTACCTGTCAGGAAAACAAATAGTGCTAAGGCAGTAGTATGAAGTACATTATTTTGACCCTAAATAGCTGTTTTAGGCGGGTTGTGGGAATTACTAAACCACACCTTTATCAATAAGTGATGCTCATTACTCTGCTATAGTGCTTGTGCAGTGACGTTGAGAGTCCTCATACACATCTCAAACGTGTTTGATATTGTGTTTAACAATGCTAACATATGAAGAGAAACATGATTCATGTTCTCAGCCCTCATAGAACTTTCATCCATTGGAGAAGACTGACATGACATAACTACAATATAAACATCACACACACCCCAAATGGTGACTTGTACTCATGCCATAGGAACACAGAGGTAGAAAAGTATTTTCAGTTACGAATTTTTTTTTTTTTTTTGAGACAGGGTCTCACTATGCAGTTCAGGCTGGCCTTGAGCTCACTTTGTAGCCAAGGCTGGTATCACCCTCACAACGATCCTCCTGCCTCAGCCTCCCAAGTGCTGGGATTACAGGTGTGAGCCTCCATGCCCAGCTTTGGTTATGAATTTAATGAAGGAGGTTACACTTGATTTTGCCCTTGATAAATAAGTAGGTTAACTAAAATCTATAAAAAAGAAGAGAGTAAACTCAACCATCTAAAATGGTCTAGCCCAGCAGTTTTGGAAATATGGTCCAGGGAACTCTAATCCTTTTAGAAAGGATTCTATAATCATATAAATATAAGAAAAGCTATATAATATGTCTATTCTAAATATATCTATTCTGAAATCCACTGCAAGTATTTATGAAGAATTACAGTATAGTAAGGAATTTAGAGAACTAGTATGGCATGGAATGTACCCACTTGCTTCTCTTTGAGTATTCAGCCATGGTGTTCTTCTCTATCCATTGTCACTTAACTTAGAAGTTTCACCTTTTAGAAAAGCAGTTTGTCATATTTCTTTATGTTGCTTCCTATTTACTTTCTTTTTACTAATCTGGTTTAGTAAGTAAAAAATGCAGAAATGCATTTTAAGTTACTCTTTTTCTTTAACATTTAACTCTGATTTTTCTAATTATTCTTTTTTATTTTTCCATTAGAGTGACCTCAGTTCTGTGGTAATTTGATTTTTTATTACAAATTTATATGCTTTTCTTACTTACCACTTTTTGACTCTGCCTAATAATCTCTGTATAAAACATAGTGGAAAAACAGTTAGTTGTGAATCTCACCTATATGAATTCAGTAAAAAATACATAATTTCAGTATACTTTTTATATCAATTGTCTTATGTGGGAAAAATTAGATCAAAGATTCTGTTGTCCTATTGAAACAATTATATGCACAGTTTTAGTGTTTTTTTTCTTAAGATGTTTTTAAAAGAAGCATGTTAAGCTTGTGTAAAATAACTGGGTTTTTAAACAGTTTGCTGGAGAATACCCTGCCACCCTTCAGTTGCTTAAATAGACTGTAATATTCATCTTCAGATGCACAGACAATGGTTTTAGCTTTAATTGTGGGTCAGGTAAAAATGGCCTTTTGATAAAGGAAAGCAGAAGAAGAACAAGATTTGTCCAAGTTGGCTAAAATTATATCTTCAATTTCCTATTTACAATAAGCATTTGCTTATATATTTTATGTAATAACAACATCAACAGCCTTAGCACTAAATTCTTGTCTTGATTTTTCAAATGTCAAATTACTTACTACTAACTGTTCAGACTAACTTGATTTTCCATTATGTTGCTTGTTTCTCTTTCATTTTACCCAAGCTCTTCCTAAATTTATGCAGAAAATTGTATTTCTTAAATGGAAATATGGGTCTGTGGTTATTTTTAAAAGCAATGGATTTATGGGATATAAATTACTTATTTTTTGAACAAAAGTAATGCCTTAAGTGGTATCTTGTTTTGATAAATCATTATATTTCTGTTCTCATTTTTGCACTGAGGGTCTGCTTTATTTTAGACATACTAAATTATAATTTCATTATATTTTTACAAACGGTTTCCATTTTTCTGGCCTTAGTGACAGCAAAAGCCCGTAAATCCCCAATTTGGGTCATGTTTATTTTCTATTTATTTCTCTGTGTGTGTGTGTGTGTGTGTGTGTATATATATATATATATATGCAGTCCTACTGCAGTACTCTGTGGCTTCAGAACTCAGCCTGCCTGATACTTGTCACAAATGGAAAAGAGAAAATATATTTCGGCAGTGGGTCAGGAGTTGAGGATGTGAAAAATTGCTTTTTTTAAAATCCATATGTCTTGAGTTTTAAAGTTCTGTATTACAAAACAACCTCATTACTTAACATTAGCCCAGTAAAATGTGAAAATTCTTGGGGGCTTTCCCAATTGATTTATAATTACATTATTTTGGGGGGGAAACATTGTTTGGGTTTTGGCACTCATCACAAGTTCTGAATGCCTTAATGATGAGTACCCAGGTACCACTATTTATCTCTGTATATATGTGTGCATGTGTATTATGTATACACATATATACACACATGTATACATATATATACATACACACATTTTAAATATATGTATATGAAAAAGTGATCCTTGCATATGCTTGGTATATCATTTTTTATGTTGGCTTGTTAAAAAAAGGTAGCAGTTATCAGTTATGCAAAGAAAATAATAACCAAGTGGCTTAAGAACAAGATGGTTTAGCATACAGAACCAGGGAACTTAAAATTTATATAAAATTATTTAAATTACCCAGTAGCTAAATTATCACAGAATAACAGCAGTTTTATAATCTGTCACTAAAGCTAATAAATATTTTTGCTTGATTTAAGAGCTCTAAGATTATCAGGTATAATTCCCTTATTCTTTTTTTGTTTGTTTTTTGAGACAGGGTCTGGCTATGTGCACTTCAGTCTGGCCTTGAACTCACTCTGTAGCAAAGGCTGGCCTCAAACTGGCAGTGATCCTCCTGCTCGGTCTCCTCAGTGTTGGGATTACAGGCATGTGCCATCATGCCCAGGGACTTGTTTTTTTGTCCCTGAATATACATTTAAAATATACCAAGAAATCACTAATGACCAGATTATAAAATAGATTATTCATAGTACAAGTGGTCACTAGACTAAGTTGAAGCAATATTACAATTGAAATCATATTATGGAAGAATATTATAATGAATATATAATTATCTTAGCATAACCCTGGAATTATAGAAGTAGAGGTATATTCATCATACTAAATTTCATTGCAGCACCTTACTAAAAGATTTAGGAGTTTTGTAAGTCAAATTCCAGTTAAGCAAATATTTTGGGGTGTTAATCCAAAATATATTCTCATTATCCCACATCCATTGTTTGACAAAGGTATCAGTTAACTAACACTTGACTTTGCCTATTAATTATGTTAAGATGAAGATTTCTTTTCTTGCATTAATTATGTTAACTTTGGTTTTCAGGCATGAACTAATCACATTTGTGGTTAATAATTTTTCTTTACATTGAGATACATATTGTAAGTACCGTCACATTTTGGTGGATTTTTTTTTTCATATCCTCAGACTGATGAAGTATTTCTTGAAGCACAGATTCAGAATATTACAACCTCACCCATGTTTATGGAGAAAGTGTCATTGGAGCCATCCATAATGTACAGTGTCACAGAATTAAATTCAGTCAGCCAAGCTGGAGAATGGTAAATACTACTTACGAAATAGTGCTTTAAAAGATGTATGCTTTCTTAACCTCACTATTCTTGAGTCTATTTTTTAAAAAAATATTTAAGATTTGAGGTTTTTTTGGTGGGAGTAGGTTTACTTGGTTTTGGTTTTTGACAGTTTCAGGGATCAAACCTAGGGTCTTTGCACTGAGCTCTATATTCAGCCTTTTTTTTTCTTTTTTTTTAATTTTATACTTTGAGACAGATTCTCACTAACTATTATGGCTTGTGTCTAAATGTCCCCCAAAGCCTCAAATGACCACAAGTGGAGTTTTTCAGAGGTGGCTGGATCTAGGGTGTGTGATGTTGGAATTAATTGTATGATGCTTGGGTTAAGTCACAGAAAAATTCATATGAATGAGTGCTTTTACTACAAGTAATGAACCCATATTGATACTTTTTTTATCAGTACTCGACACTGAACCAAGAGCTTCCACACTGAACCACATCCTCATCCCATTATTTCCTATTTGGACATAGGGTCCCCTCTAAATCGATGACTTGCGCAGGGTGGGCTTAAACTTGCAATCCTGCCTCAGCTTCCCAGAGTGCTGGGATTGCAGGCCTTACCACCAAGCCCACCTGATACTCATCTTTAAGTTCACAGTTTACATTAGAGTCCACTGTATGTGATATACATACTATGTGTTTTGATTATATTGTAAACACTGATTTTACTTTCCTAAAAATAGCTTTGCCCCATTCATCCCACCCTCTACAGAAAAATAAAGATGCTAGCCCTTTGCATTTGTGTTTTACTATTCAAAGCATGTGTTAATTTTGAGTTCTCATAACTCAGAGGTGAAAGCTATCATGTTATCTTGCAATGATAAACCTGAGGTATGGGAAGGATGGTGGAGAAGTTAGAAAGTCAGGATAGACTGAGTGTATCGAATGCTCCTCTCTCAACAAGAAAGGAAAAGACATGGGAACAGGTAATTTTAAGCTGGGCACAGTAGCACACTCCTATAACCCCACACTTGGGAGGCTAAGGCAGGAGGATTGCATATTTAAGGCTAGACTGTATTACACAGAGAAATCCTGTCACAAAAGAAAACCCAGAAAGGGGCAAGAATAGAGGATTTTAGTTATTTTGTATCTTTCTGTAGCTAACTTAGAAAACGAAGAACAAATAAATGTAGTGCTGACATTAGTATAGATGAGGTAATAGCTGGAGAAACTGCCTGATTTTCTTAATCTAGGTTTAAAAGTTTGTTACATTATTATGATAATTACATAAAGTCCATGGCCTCGTTTACCGAGGAAAACAATAATTGTGTGTTTTCCATATATTTTAGTTTATTTGAAAGGATTACTTAGTTTAGAATTTTACTTTTCAGTGCTGTGGGTGTAGCTCTGTGTAGAGCAATTGCCTCAACATGCCTGAGGCCCTGGATCCAATCCATAGTGCTACATTTTTTAAAAGTATTTCTTTTCTTATTCTATCTTTAAAATAATTTTAGAGAAAAGTGACAAGATACTTTAGGTTTTGATTCCTGTTATACTTTGCATTTACCTGATACATGTCCAAGGTTATAGGCAATATATTCATTCTATTATAAAGAACTTTAAGGTTTTCTAAGGTAGCCAGACATATGGCATATGCCTGTCATCCCATCACTACAGAGGCTGAGGCGGGAGGATCATTGTGAATTCAAGGCCAGCTTGAATTACATAGCAAGACCCTGTCTCAGGAAAAAAAAAAAATACGGGGGAAAAAGAAAAGATTTTCTATGTTCAATAAAAAAATTAAAAATAAGTACTCAGTGTAAATCCTCCTTCTTTCTGTTGAAACCTCTAGCCTCATCCTGTTCTAGATCTTTGAGTGGCAAATCACTCAGTTTCTATCCAAAAGAAACGATCACAGCTGTGGCTTTTCTTTGAAGAGACGTTCAAGAATTTTCTCCCATCTGTCTCTCCCCTTCTCAGTGTCTCTACATTTGGGTCAAGAGCATATCTGCAGCCGATGGATACACGCCAGTACTTATACTGCCTAAAACCCAAGAAGGAGTTTGCAGAAAAAGCAGGCATCATTAAAGGAGTAACAGTAATTGGAAAACTGGATATAGTGTGGAAAACAAACCTAGGGGAAAGAGGAAGGTTACAAACCAGCCAACTTCAAAGAATGGTCAGTCTGAAAGTTCTCCTGTGGGGTTTTTTGTATGTGATGAGGAGCCATTTAAAGCAATTTAAGTGTTCCTAGGTCTCTCACTAAAAATCTGGCACCAGTATGACCAGAGAAGAAAAGACTAATAGTTTCATTGATCTCTAGGTAAAAATTAGTACTGCAATGAATGAAAAATGTGCAAATGTTAATTTATCCTTAATAGATTTTTTTAACTTTACCAAACAACAGCTTATCAGTTGTTCATTTCTTTGGTAATTTATTCTCACTGTATCTGACTTCAGTGGCAGTAAGATTTTCTTTTTTGCAATATCCTGAAATGCTTGGACTTCCTGTGTTTACCTACTATTTATATATTTCTTTTTTTCATGTTAAAAATCTAGCCAGGTGTGATGGCACATGCCTGTAATCCCAGCACTTGGGAGGCTGAGGCAGGAGGATCACTACTAGTTAAGGCCAGCCCAGGCTACAAAGTGAGTTCAAGGCCAGCCTGAACTGCATAGTGAGACCCTGTCTCAAAAAAAACAAAATAAAATAAAATGAAAATCTGACACATCAGAAACTCAGGTGAGCTGCAGTAAAGTTATTGTGTAAGTATTGGTTGGATATTTTACCTAATTTTTGCGCTGAGAATAGGGATAGCTGGGTCTTTGTTTGCTATGCTAGCAAGAATTAGCTTCAGGATTCTCCCATTATGATGAATATTATCTGTTCTTACATACTCTAAAAAGAATTTTTTTTGGCTGTGTACTTCAGGCTGGCCTCAAATTCATGGCAATCCTTCTGCCTCAGCTTCTGTAGTACTGGGATTACAAGTGTGCACCACCATGCTGAGCTCTAAAATATATTTTCTTTTTCTGTTTGAGACAATATTTTTTAAAAGATGCTGACGATCACTGAGCCTACTTTAAAATATGTTAGTTATTATTCTGCCATGGCATGTTGTAGTCTGTTCTTACCCATGTGTCTTGTGGAAAAACATCTTTCTTCCTGGCTCATTTCAAAGTGAGCTCCCTCTGTCTCTTTAGGCACTAATCTTGCCCATTTACATTTATGTATGTAGGAGCTACAGTACCACTAAAAGAAAAAGGCCCTTTGAGATTAGATCCCCTAGAACTTTTTTACTGACTACATAACAAGATTCAAGTTAATTCTACTGAACCCAGAGTACAGCAGTTGTAACAAAAATAGTCCAGGTCTGCACCGTGTCCCACAGAGAGTAACAAAGAAGTTAGAGGGAAGGGAAGAATGAATCAGAAATACTTTCTTAGAACATCAATTTGCCTATCCATGTCTACTGAGTGAATGTGTTGATGTGGTACCTGCACTAAGACAGAAAGATTTTATAATAAATATATTTTAACTATGTTGCTTGTTTCCTTAGGCTCCAGGTTATGGCGATGTTAGGTTATCTTTGGAGGCAATCCCAGACACTGTAAACCTCGAAGAACCTTTCCATATTACTTGTAAAATAACAAACTGCAGGTAATTCCACATAGGTGGGTGTTCAACCCAAAAAAATATTTTTACATCTTTTGAATATTCTTTTTAAATTTCTTCTACTATATAGCTTCCTCTGATGCTGAAATACTGCAGAGTTACCTGGTATCTGTGTGTTAAATATTTTTTGAAGACCTACTTTAGGCATTTTCTGTATTTTTATTTAATGTATCATACCTTATGTGGTAAGTTTTCATTATTCACATTCTGTGGAAGAGAAAGCTAGCTCAGAGAGTTCAAGTGATTTTCTCAAGCTCAGAGAGCTAGAAACAGTGGGGCCAGAAGTTGAAACCAAATGTACTTGGTATCTAAGTCCATGTTCTTTTCATTGTTTTACACTTCCTTCACACTTCAGATTACTAAAACAGGAGCTGATGCTTTTAGCGTAATAATAGATTTACAGTAGTTAGGTAGATTTTTCTGGGGCATACTGGAGCAATATTTCATATTCAGAAATCAAAACTTGTTTATGAATGTAACACAAGGGGATAATCATAGGTTGAAAGTGTATTTATACTAAAGGGAGAACATAATTTACCTCTTGGGAGGCAAAGAACACGGGCTTTTGAATTACGGAAAAACCTAGAATTAAATCCGTCTCATCTATCACTTTTGTATTTGTATTAGTATTTGATGTACTAGCTGGGGTATTTTGATAATATTGCAGTGATAAATCCCAGCTCTCACAGAATGAATGTGTAATCCTTTTAATTCTAGAGCAATTCCAACTTTTTTGCATTGGCAAAATAGGAAACATTCATCCTTCAAAATTAAATACCTACTTCTATGAAGCTACCTAGCCCCTCTCAAACATAATCTTCTGTGATAGCAAATTTTAATTTGGTTTTTTAATAACATCTGTGTATTGCTGTAATTTTTAGTCTCTTCCTCAATGGATTATGATTTATTCAAAAGGGACTTGACTTACGCAGCTTTGTAAATGCAGCCTGCCACATAGAACAACTCAGTAAACAAGCCATCCAAGGCAAAAACACTGTGCATACTAGGTGTAGTAGGGATTGTTTTGTTTAGTTTTTCAGGTATAGCAGATCTGTTTACTGACCAAATGACAATGTACTATTAATTTTTAAAATTGATTTCTTTGGGCATTCACTTTAACTTTTGGTCATTCAAGGAAGTTTCTCAAAGCACTTGACATGTTCATTTTCTTCGTCTATAAAAATGTGACGCACACCCGCTCCCCAGCAGACACAGACATAACATACATACAGCATGTACAAAGCTTAATATGTTTTTATGGGACTTAGAAAATTCGTGTAGCATGTCTTAAATGTTTCAAGTGTTTGTTAGAGAAATAGAGACATGTAAAATAGAGACAATATGTCTAAAAAGTCAGTAAATTAAACGATTTTAAAATACGGTGCCAATTATGAGGGAAAAGAGCTGAAAGTAGCCATGAATGGTGGTGGAGTGGGAGATTGTCTCCCTTTATCATCCGCTTCTTGGCTTACTTGCATTAAAACTTTTTAAACTTAACTTGTTTAAGCTGTACTAGTGGCGCCTCTTCAAAGCAGAAAACTTTTTGCTCGATGAATAGTAACAGTGAGCAAGTATGAATAGTATTTACAGCCTTACAAATTTTGTCATTTTCTAAGTCACCTGCATGTTCAGGGAACATAGATTATTGAAAGCACTAGACAGGGGCTGGGGATTTAGCTCAGCGGCAAAAGCGCCTGCCTGGCAAGCGCAAGGTCGTGAGTTCAGTTCCTGGTATCGGAGAAAAACAAAAAAAACAAAAAAAAAAAAAAAAAAAAAGAAAGCACTAGACCAGGCTCATTTCTTTTTCTGTCCTATAGAGCAGCCAATAGAAATATTAAGAATACCTAGCAACAAAGATACAGTGTTGTAAGTTTCCCAGATATGTGGTAAAGCATCAGCACTAAGGAACCAGTGCTCAGTAATAGAACCAGAAGACTGATTAGTCTAAATCCATTCTGAGCCCTGAGATAGCATCTCCTTTCACTTTCCTGATTCCACCTTAGGTGAAATGAAAGTCATGTAATAGCTTTTCAGTCTTCTTTTATTCTCCGGGGCACTCAGGGAACAAATTTACTGAAAAAAGTAGTATCACAGTGTCTCCCTGTGCAATAAACCAGCTGTATTCCTGTTTTTCTCATTACTGGGCAGTGAGAGGACTATGGACCTGGTGTTGGAGATGTGTGATACCAGCTCTGTGCACTGGTGTGGTGTTTCGGGGAGGCAGCTGGGAAAGCTGCTCCCCAGCGCCTCCCTTGGCCTGGCCCTGACTCTGCTGTCTTCAGTGCAGGGGCTGCAGGTAGGTTCCTCTCCAGCCTTGTGCTGACCCCTGGTCTTCACGAGAGCCTTATTTTCACTGCTAATTACCAGTGAATGAAACTGAAGCCCACATCTTTCTCTCAATAGAGTGTCTCCGGCTTGAGACTGACAGACACGTTCCTTAAGAGAACATATGAATACGATGACATCGCACAAGTCTGTGTGGTCTCTTCAGCCATTAAAGTGGAAAGCTAATGAAAATTTCCAATGTGATGTCTTCATTTAGTTTCCGAGAACTATTTTATTTCTGTATTTTTATCACCTTTGTGAAATGATCATATCAGTAGCAAATGTAAGTATAATTTAAATTTCTTGCCTGTAAAACATGTACAATATTAAATGTTTGAAAAGGACAGAATTTATCAAGTTAATATTCTTAGTGAACATTTCTGTTTTCTACATATATTTCATTTTAGATGACCATTAAGCTGTTGTCCAGAATCTATAGTGTTTGTCCCTAGCGAGCGTCTAAAACCGAACTCAGCAAACCTGTTTTGTAAGAGGTCACGACACCAATTATCTTAGGTTTTTGCAGACAAATCATGATCTTTGACATTTCCCACAACACAGGTAGGCAAAAAAGTGCAGCAGTATTTACAAAAACAAGCACCTAGATAGGGCCCTGGTTTGTTGACTTCAGTTTAGAAAATATAGTTTCTTAGAACTTTAGAATTTTAACAATACATTTAGAAATATTTCCATTAACTCCAGATTTCTTCATAGTTAACAGGAGAGATTTGAAACTAGGATAGTCCTGTAACCTGGTTGTTTGCTAACACAATATTTTCTACTTGTTTTCAAAATTATTGTATTGGCATGTGTAACTTTCAGATACTGAGCGGAATTGGTTTTATTTCTTAGATTATTGACTACTCAGCTAGCTTTTAACTAAGATACGTAATAATTTTCTAATTTTAATTTTAAAGCATCAGTTTTCCCTTAAAAAGTAAACTCCTTATTTTCATAACACATACTCCAAGCTTCTGATGATTGATTTTGAATTCTAAATCTTGTTAATATTTTTTTCTCTGTTCTGTTCATGGTGTAATTGCATCTATTTACACCATGAACAAAACAGAGTTAAGGTTGTAAACAGCTGTGCAACATGAATGTAACCATGTTTCACTATTTTACCAGGAACACAGAAGTTTATGAAACCTGTTTTGGTAAACTGAACAAGAATGTATCATTTCCTAAATGTAGAGTACAGTAAATCAAACACGAAAACTGGTGTTTCTTAAATATGACATTATTTATTGCCATGACAAATTGTTTGGTCCAGACTGAAAGCTATATGCAGAAGGGTGGCCCTTCACACTGCAATAATAATTAATGAAATGTTTGGGCAAAATAAAGTGCAATCGTGTAAAACTGAAGTATGTCATTCATCCAAAATGACTGATGGATTAAATGATGAAATAAAACTTACAGTCACTGCACTGGGCACCGTTTTTCAGGCACCTTCTCATGACTGAACCTGTTTCACTCCTTCCAATTTTAAAAGTAATATATAATGGTCACTTAGAATCTGCTGTATGCTTTGATTTAATTAGAAAAGTCTCTTCTCTGTACAGACAATAACCTAGACACATATTGTTCATACTTTAAAGGTTAGATAATGCCATCTTTGACAGAATTTGTGTATGTTATAAAAGTTAGATTAACAGTTTGGTACATTAAATACAAATGTTATTTGCATAAAAAGGACATGTTCAGTTTTACAGAACAGCTACAGCTACTACAATGAAATGCAGTTAATGAAAGTCACGCATTCCTAATTAAAAGGTGTATAAAGGTTTACTTTAATGCCTCGCATTTCTCTTTGATAGCAACTGTATTTTCCACACAAGGAAGAATAACATTGACAGCATTCTGTATAATTTGAAGAGTGGCTGATACAATCAGACCAATCAAAACATTCATGGTATAGCTTGCAATGCAATGACTCCAAAGTGATGAAGGGACCTGAAGAACAAAAATGGCTTGAATATAATAGAAATCTATGCAGGTGGACAGGTATTATCTAAGTTGAATTTATCAGAGCTGGTACATTGCCAGAGAAACAAACTAGAAAAGTGAAAGGGAAGAAATACACCAGTTCCCATTCGTTATTCAGGTAAAAAGAATGGCTAACTCTGTGGATAGTAACACATGAAGACAATGTTTTAAAGAAGTGTTTTTTCTTTAAATGTCTGATTCTGTTATTTGGCCAAATAAACTGAGTTGGGAAATGCTTCCCTCATCTGTTGGAAGGTTGTTAACTATAAATTCAGTTTTCTCAATATAATATAGACCTGTTCAAGTATCTCTGTCTTCAGTGAACTTTGGTTATTTGTATCCCACAAAGCATTGGTTGTTTCATCTAAGTTGTTGAATATATAGATCTAGAGTTAGTAGTAATATTTCTAATTATGCTTTTTCTTAGTATATGTGCTACGAAAGTGAGCACTCTAATTATGCTGTTAATGCCTACAGTATATCTGTTTCTTTCTATTTTTTTGAATGGTACTGGGGCTGGATCTCATACATGCTCGGGAAGCACACTATCATTGAGGGCTTTACCCTGGTCCTGTTCTTTCCTCTCTGATACTGTTAATCTGTACTTTCTATTTTTGTAGTCAGTCTTCTAGAAGCTTACCAGTTTTACTGATCTGAAAGCTTGGGGGAGGGTATTGAGTGGGACCTGAACCCAGGAGCTACTAAATTACATCTGTAGCCCATTTTAATTTTGAGACAGGGTCTCACTAAGTCACTAAATTGCCCAGGCTTGACTCCAACTTATGAACTTCCTGCCTTAGCCTCCCAGCGTGGCAGGCATGCACCACCGTGCCCAGCTCTGAAATATTTTTAATGAATTGAAAATAATTGTACTAGAAATGCTAATTTCTTAACACTAGGTAAGAATAATTATTAATTCTTTTTTTTTATTTTTTATTTTTT